CTGCTGAACTTTGACGTCATTCTTCACACTGACGACGTCATTGCTCAACAGGTCACATTGAAGAATGTTTTGTTTCTGATTATTTTTGAATTTGTATTTTTAATTTGGTTACGTTTATTGAGAAAAGGTTTTGCGTTCTCATTCAGATGTTAGTATTCTTAATGGATTCAATGGAAAACATTGCAAGAAAAAGAAACAAATAATTTGTGGAGGTGTTGAAATTGATGTTATGCTTGATGTAATTTGTTCATTTAAGTTCATATTATTATTATAAATAAAGGACAGCATGAAAAACATTATAACACACTCTTGCTAACCGTAAATTATAGAGAAAATGAGCTTTGTCCTGTAAGAATTATAAATAGCTTATTTCTAATGTATACGTCTTTACAGTGTTACGCCAAAGGATTGTTAGAAGATGAAAACACAATAACATCTGGTAGGGCATAGCTTAGAATACTTAATACTTATTTGTTTCATTCAATTAAATTTTAGGTATACGTAGATACACACACACACACACACACATATATATATATATATATATATATATATATATATATATATATATATATATATATATATATATATATATATATATATATATATATATGTATGTATATATATAATAAGTAATTATTTATATATTTATATATTAATAACTAGTTATTTTTTAGTGATTCAAGTTTCACTTTATTTTTTCTGCTTGAATTCAGACGTGACGCGATTCAACTATAATCAACTCACGGTGATATTGAAAAAGTTACCTTTAAGTCAAGAACAATCTGACGTCATTATGGTGAGTGTAGGTGAAGGAGAGGACATTGCATCTCAAAAGACAGGTAAATCTGTTTAATGTACATGTCTACACCTTACTACCTATACATTTTTAATAAGTGCCATTTCATTATTTAACGATTATTTTGATTTAATTAATTGAGATTCTGTTTTATAACACTAACGTTTGACATTTTTATTGGGTTTTTTTTGCCCATTCTTGTGTATCCTACTCGACACCAAAAACACTACTAGCTACATAAAACATAGTGAGATATCTTTTAAATATTTTAATGTTTCACCATTTTAGAGAAAATAGCTTGTTAGTAATTTATTAGAAATATTGCAAAGCATTAAGCTAAATTAAATTAAAATAATTTCTAGCCTAACTTTTTTGATGTCGTCGATTTAATCGTAGAGTTCCCTTGATTGATTTTATGGGCATCGTGCCAATGTGAGTGAACAGTCTTTACATGTTTAAAGAACGAGCCAAAATATTTTTTTTTCTTTCTCAGGACAGAGGAGTGTGTGGGGGAAATGTTCAAAGGAATTCGTAAAAAAGTTACAAGCAACATGTAAGTCTTCAAGAATTTGTGTTTTTAAACATTTGTTGTTTTTTAAAGTTACTCTAAATTTTGTCTAAAAACTCTTTGACGATAAGTTGGGTATAACGTAATGAAAATGAGTGTATGTCTAAGATGTAGGCGACTTTTCCTAAAAATATTGCTTTAAAAAACGTTCATAAATCTATATTTTTATTAATTTCATTACAGATAGCGATCAAAATCAAACTGGCTTTGTTCAGATCAAAGACCCAAAATGGAAACTAAAATGTAAAGAATTGTATATTCTTAACTCCAATGTGTATAAGGACGCTTGGCAACTTGGGGTCTATGAGGTTTTAAAACACGCTGAGAGAGCAGGATTCAATTCGATGTCCTTGTCTCTAATAGAGTCGGGTAAGTTACATCCAGCTAGACTAGTTTGTTTGAACAAAAATACAAATCTAGTGATCGAATGAGAGATAAAAATATAAATAAATCAAAATACGACACACTAGACCAGGGGGTCTCCAAACTACGGCCCGCGGGCCGAATGCGGCCCGCGAGGTCCTCTCATCCGGCCCGCGGAGATCTTTTTTTTCCACGGAAAAAACGTTTGTTGGTGATTGCTGAGGAACTTTGCCCAGAAAAATCAAAGACATTCCTGGAAGAAACTGGCCCCCGAACTGAAATTTGATAGTTAATGTGGCCCTTGGACTAAAAAGTTTGGAGACCCCTGCAATAACACATAAAATGTTCATTTGATTGAGTAAAATATTCGTTGGTTATAGATATTCATTTCTCTGCTAGGCTGCACCTACCAGGAACTGCTACAGCGAGTCAAGGACTTGCATTCTGCTTTAAAGACATTTTCTTCAGATGTCAAATCACTGACCAAAGTCCGTCTGGTTGTTGAATGTCCACAGGTGTACAGTGCTGCTCGGTGCATGTTTAATGGTCTGTAGCTCTATATTCTTATCTCAGTTGTTCACAGTCAGCTTAGTTGGGCATGTAAAGCTCATGCTACTAGACCGAAAATTAACCGAAACGGTGGCAGATGAGGTTCGCGAGGTGGGAACAGCAACCCTGTAAGGAGATACATCTTTCATATCAAGACAGGAGTGGAGCCCCAAAAAATCTGGGGGGGGGGGCAGCTGAGGCAACTCAGAAATTGCCAATTTGTATAGCTAATGCCCTGTCCCTTGGACCCAACAGTTATGTAGAGAAAGGATGCCAGACCCTTCTTGTATCAGGCAGCTGTCTTTTAATCTCAAATCACAGCCAACTGATCGAGTTCTAAAAAGAAAATTTTAGTCATATGGGTGCAGGGGGATGGGGGGTGTGGGCATTAATCAGAGCTATCAGAATGCAAAAGATAGAGAGTTTTTGTTTTAAAAACATAAATACCGACTTAATTTAAATGTTTAACTTCATAAATACAAAAAAAAGGAAAGCTGAAAATATAAAAAAAACCTATAATACCAAACTTTTAAGTAGACTGAAAATAAAAGAAATCAAACTGGCTTTTTTGTTAGTAAAAACAATGGTTGCTGATTAAATCTCTTACACATTTGAGCGACAATGTTTTGACTAGAAAGCATTTTTTTTTCTTACTTTCAGTGTATTTAAAAGCTTATACTTATACAGATGTGATCTTTTTTTTTTATTTTAACCAAGACCTGAGCTCTCGTGTTGTCCCTCCCAAGTGTGCTAACGTTTCTGTGTATTACACCGATACTGCGGGAAGATCGGAGGCGGAGACACAGCTCAAAGATTCTCTGAAGACACATTACAAGGAGTCCATATTGTTTTCTCAGTTCGTGAGCTCGTTCAATGACGCCAACGTAAGTCTTTTTAACACACATTGCTATGGACATTATATCAGGATATACTTGTAATAAGGCAGTTGAAATCAGAGTTTCTTCCAGGCATTTCTTCGGGGGGAGGGGGGGGGGGAATGAGGAGCGAAGAATGTCTACCCCCCCCCCCCTGCCCTCCCGAATAAAATAGAATTTATATAGAAAATGTATATATTTTTACTAGTGTCCGCCTCCCCCAGCCTCTATCCGGAAAATTAAGTCCGACCGCCGGAATATCAAGTCTCCCCCCCCCCCCCACCCACCGCGGAGAAAAAAGTCTGGAAGAAACACTGGATGAAATAAAGTTCAGCTTTTTCTTTGACCTACGAGTTTACTAGAAGCATTTAGAAAATTTAAAATCCTAAATATTGCTTACATTCCTAAATGTTTTCTATGTGCATTATTTTACGAAAACAAATTAATATCTACTTTCGAATATATTTTTAAAATATTAATTTAACATTATGTTGGCTAATAATTCTATCTTAGTCGAATGTAATTGATAACAAGCTTATTTACACAACAGTCTTACAGATTAAAAGAAAAAGGTTTCAGAAACATGTTGGATGTCAACATTGAAAAGAACACGCTTAAAGTATCTGGCTTTGGTGACGTCACTGTTGTACAGAAGGAGATTCAACAAATAGAAATAGAGGACTGGAAAAAATGCATGGGTTAATACAATTAATTGCGCTAGTATAACGGTTACCTATTCACGAAATCAAATAACTCTTTGTTAAAAAAATACATTACAATAATAAATGGATAACAAAGATCTGTAATAAAATACGAAAGCTTCAAACCATTTTTAAATAAGCGTTCGACACGTTTTTATACATTTTTTTTAAAATTATCTTGTGAATAATACATACAAAAGAGCACTCTTAATAGTTATCTGATATAATAAACTGGTAAATGTAACTATTATTGATATATGCATATGAAAATATATAGAGAGAGATAGATGGATTTGCTCATTTAAAATATTTTATGTATAAATATGTACACATATAAATAATATATATATATATATATATATATATATATATGTATATATATATATATATATATATATATATATATATATATATATATATATATATATATATATATATATATATATATATATATATATATATATATATATATTTATATATACATATTTATATATACACATTTATATATATATATATATATATATATATATATATATATATATATATATATATATATATATATATATATATATATGATAGGAAGAGAGATAGCAAATGAGATAAACGACGTTGATCTATATTTGTTTCAGTTGGTAAAAGTATTAGAGAGAAATGGGAATCTAGCAAAGTTCGAGACAATGTGAAGCTACTGCCGACATCGTTCGAGTTCATGTGTGTAGAGAAATATTATAAAGACAACGGGGCTAAAGGCGATGTTATACAAGTAAGTTCACTCAAACCCTACCAAGTAATGTATTTACAAATTTTAAAAAAGGCATTAATTTGGTATTCAGTAACAAAACATACTATCTTTTCACAACACAATACAACATAACTTGGTGTAAATTCACGCAGCTCGATGCACATATTGTAACACGTAACTAAATTTAAGGAAAAGTGATATAACAAAGTAACGTAATCTAGCTTTAAGTGACAAAAAGACCTTACACCTCCACTTTGACCTTGACTTTGGTCAGCAGCGTAACCAAACTTTCGCCATGACCACAATCTAACCCACTTCAATCCAATCCTAGTTTCACTTTCTGCTTACCTAGATTGAACGTATTGAAAACAAAAAGGTCTGTGAGCTTTACTCAAGCCAAAAGATGATGATGGACAGAAAAAATCTGTTCCACGAAAACGAGAAGCTGCTTTTTCATGGTGCCAATGCCCATTCAACTTGCGCTATTAGTGAGACAGGTTTTAGTCGCAACACCTGTGGGAATCATGGTAAGTAGCACCAGATCTTTAACAGTATCTACTAGCTAATTCATAGTTAAAGTAAGTGGAACCAATTTAGTCCTCTTTGCTCCTTATGGAAAATAGGCCTCCATCATTTCCTTCCATTTCGTCAGATACCAGCTGATAATTAAGCCGCCTCCCAAGCAGAGGCGTAGCAAGGGCAGGGGGGGGGGGGCTGGGGGATGCGGACCGCAACGGTCGACACCATTTAGGGGGGTGACACCAAGGCAAAAAAAAAGCAAAATATAGAGAGAAAAACTTGAGGGAGGGTGCAAATGGAAAGTTTGAGATGGGGGGTGCAAATCAAATATTAGAATGTTTGTTCCCGGGAAGGGTCGCTACGCCTCCGGGGGGTGACACCATTAAGTGCCGCACCGGGTGACACCCGACCTAGCTACGCCACTGCTCCCAAGACATCCCTGTTGGCTTTAGTTCTTCAAGAAGACTCCGCCTCTAGGTCTGTCTTGGGCCCTCTCTTTTTTTCCCTGGGGATTTCATTCAAGCGCTTGGTGTGTTAGATTTTGGTGATCATTTCGCAGCGTGTGCCCCCCCCCCCACTTCCTCCTTCTTATTTGCACTGTCATAGGCGCATGCCTTGCTTTTCTCCATAATTCTATAAATCCACACCTATATTAGCCAATTTATAGGTAGAAAAGTAAACCCAGATCCAAAAGACTATCTACTGGCTAACTGATAGTTAAAGTAAGTAGAACAAAATCCACACCACCATTTATTAGCTAATCGATAGTTAAAGTAAGGAAACCCAGATCCACAATACTATCTACTAGCTGATTGACAGGTAGAGTAAGCAGCACCTAATTAACAACACTATCTACTGACTAATTTATATTTAGTGAGCCAAAAATGATTAGCAAAATGTGAACTATGAAGTGTTTCTTCCAGACTTTTTTCTCCGGGGGGGGGGGGGGGGCACTTGAAATTTTCGGGGCAGCGGTAGACTTTCTTGGGGGGGGGGGGGGCGGACACTGTTAAAAGTATATATTTTCTATATAAATTATATAAATTTTATTTCGATCGGGGGGGGGGGGAGGGGGGGGGGGGTAAGCACCGAAGAGGTGTCTGGAAGAAACTCTGGAACTATGTTACTAAACGTGTGGTGATGTCCCCAAAGCAAATTCAGCCAGGAAAGATATGACTACTTGAAGAACAAACTAGGAAGATGTAACGTAAATTTGCCACATCATCAGAAAAGTGACGTTACTACATAAATGTGTACCGTAGTTGTTATTTGGATAAGTTGAGTGCAAATTGAAATCAAGTAAAAAAAAATTGGTCCAGATAAAAAAATAATCATGGGATAAATTGTTCTGCGCCCGTTAGGGTTAGCTGGTTCAGGATGTCATGAAATGATTTATCATCAGTACGACTTTACTTTCAATTTATAATAGCGTTACGAGTCAGGATTATGATAATACGTGTGAGATCATTCAAAAGAGTTTGAGATAAAAACAATTAAATACCCTTTGAGACCAAATGAAGTTCATCCGTCTCGCTAACTGCAGTATATAAAGAGATATTTTAGTCTACAATACAGTCTGTTGATAGGCGCTTTTACATATTACTTCTGTGAAATAAGAATCAGCTTTCTATCATGATTAGGTAGTTTTTTTACGAATAGTAGTACGTGAGACTAAACTGAGCCTTTCCGGATAGTATCAGTGGTCTCTAACTCTTGACCACACCATCCCAAACAGAATGAAACAATAGGTACTTCTTTTTGTATAATCAAGCAGAGGCGTAGCGACACTTCCCGGCGCCCGGGGACAAACTTTTGATTTGCACCGACGCCCCTCAAACTTTCAATTTGCACCCCCTTCAAACTTTTGATTTGCACGCCCCTCAAACTTTCGATTACTTTTTCCAACCCATTTTGGCGCCCCCTAAGGTCGGCGTCCGGGGACGTATGTACCCCCCTGACCCCCCCCCCCCCATCGCTACGCCTCTGTAATCAAGAGATCAATTATGTTTCCTTATCTACCACAGATACTCGCTACGGCATTGGGGTTTATTTCTCCAAGTCGGCCGAGTACGCTGAGAAATCCGCGCTGCCCAGCGACACAGGGATTCTCAAAATCTTCTTGGCCAGGGTCCTCGTGGGTTATTCTGTTGAGACCACACAGGGACAACTGGCGATCGTTCAGGAGCCTAACTCTAGTAGAACATACGACTCTGGAAAAGCACCAGACAGTAACGAGGATGGGATTGTCGTCATTTTCACAGACTCGCAGGCGTATCCTGAATACGTCATCACATCTAAGATACATAGCAGCGACACTCAGACAACATCACCTTAAATATATATATATATATATATATATATATATATATATATATATATATATATATATATATATATATATATATATATATCAGTATCGGAAAATAGTTCCCTAAAAGAACCACACATTCTTTTGTGAACGCTTATTTTTCAAAGGATAAACTAACAATATTTTAAAGTCTGAAGATTTTATAATAATATCGCAGTGTTTTGTGCTATAAAGCAGGTGAACATGTGGATAAAGTCATTCTTTTTTAAATCGTTACAAACTTGTATGAACATCAAGGACAAGAGACGAAATGTAGCTTGCGCCCAACACTACGTTGAAATAATGGGACGGTTCAGAAATTAAATAGATCTTATATTATTTAATTCAAAGACAAACAAAATAGTGAATTTTAATCTTTATATTTATCACTAGTTAAAATGTTTGCATAATGATGATCTTATATTGTATGTGAACTTTGATTTATTGAAGGTTTGTTTTAGAAAGTAAACATAACAATTTTTGTTTTGCATTTGCCATGTATCAAAAAGCAGTTATATTTGTATTATTTTTTACTTTTTTTTTAATTTCGATTGCGCTACAATATACTTAAGTATCCGTTGGTTTATACCTTATTTATCATTGGACTTTTAAAACTATAACAACTATACAATACGTTTTTCCGTTTATCGAATGTAGATCCCTATTACTTGCTATATACTGTATTATACAATGTGGTAAACATCATTAATTTTCTAAATTGTTTACCTTATATTAATCTGGAATATCTTTTTAAAATCATTAATAACACAATATGTTTAAATACCCCATACTTTCTAAATGGTGATATGTTTCAGTAACTGAGAAACAAATTAGGGTATGATAGATAATGTGAGGTTAATGATACTGATGACAAGAGGTGGTAAGCGTTGGATTATGATGTTCAGTAAATGTTCATAAATTGTAAGTCATGATTGTGATGGTAAATTTTTTTGTGACATTACCTTATTATCCGGGAAAATACATAAAAATTATTATGTTATCATACATTATGCTTACACTACCATAATCATTTGACGTTATTAGAATGTATTTTGTTACTATTAAAACATATATATTAATAATAAACCATGAAGTCCAACTAAGTAAGTCTTTGTTTAGAAAACGCATGGAGATAATATATAGATAAAAAAAACAGGGTTTCCAAGACATGGCTGCTTCACGTAAACTAAAGGGTTGTCGACCCGACTATACTTGTTAAAATATGTATACAGTAATATATCAAAGCACAAATATAGGGGTGAAATTTAATTTTAATGCCTAATTTTTAAAACCATGTTTATGCAATAATGACCACAAGAATAAAATGTTTATACCGTGTAGCAAGTACATATTAAAGGCAATGTAAACCATGATTAAACGAATGATGTGGTATCTCATCTTAAATTAAAACAATATAAAATCCATGTAACAAAGGTTTACTTAATTGTATAAACATATATAAATATATATATATATATATATATATATATATATATATATATATATATATATATATAAAATATATATAGATAATATATATATATATATATAATATATATATTATATATATAATATATATATATATATATATATATATATATATATATATATATATATATATATATATATATATATATATAATTCATCTACAATAAAATAAAAATAAGAACAAAAAAGCATGATTTTGCATTAATGTTCAGCTTAATAGATCAAACGCACTCCATTAATTTTTAAACATAGCATTAACCGAAAACAATTAATACTCTTTACCCTAACAACCTTAGATCTTTACAAGTGTGTATAATTAGAGAAACCAATAAACCCATTTGATAAATGTGAGAATGTATTCCATTGTACTTGTGTTAAATGGAAAGCCAAAATCTAAGTGTATAGATAAACAAAACATAATGAGACCTGAGTTGACTACAGACTAAAAGTACTGTAAATCAATTGAAATAATTTAGAAAGCGTATTGTATTTTATAGCATCATTGTATACCTTTCTCTCTCTCTTTCTCTGTCTCACAAATACACATTCGAGCGCACTTTCTATCACATATATCACGTATATAATTTCTTGTGCTTTACATATGTATATGCATATTATATATATACATATATATATATATATATATATATATATATATATATATATATATATATATATATATATATATATATATATATATAAGGGAAAATCCGCAGTGTAGTATATATATACACTCTGGATTAAGCTTGAAATAAAGTATTTACACTATTATTTTAATCGCACATTCTGCCTTGTTTTGAAAGAAATGATTCATAAGCAGCATAAAGGATGAACACATTTTTAAAAAAAATAAAACATGATTAAATGCATCTTTTACAAGCACTCGGATTTCTAATGCAAACTATCAACAACGCTTTGAATATATATCAGGACATTCAGATGTTGTTGGTCACTTTTAACACAATGCGAGTTAGTTGTAGATTGTACGCCAAAGTACGAAGGTGTACATACAAATGCCATTTATTGTTAAATTTTGTAGCATTTACCTCACCAACTTGCTGTTGTATTTACAATTAATTTTTCTAAATACATATTTCACTAACTTTGGAAAAGTGTTTACATGCGCTGTTCCAGAAAAACAAATATGCCTATGTCCATAACAAAGTTGGCATATATATCATACGTGCTAACAAATAAGGACTAATTTTTAAAAGTGCAGTTTAATAAGCAAATAAATATGATGCCTAAATTGTATTATCTTTTGGAAATATATCAGTAAGAAAATAATAATTTTAATTTAAAAAACTAATCGCAAAAATTTACTTTAAAAACGAAACAAACAAATCATTTTACAGCACATGGAAAAACCTCTCCAAGTTTCAATGACAGATCTTCATTTTTTTTTTTAATTTAGGAACATTTTAACTAAATTAATTAGAATCATCGCATTTTAAAAACTATACTCTTCTTTGAGCTCGTCATTTTCAACGAAAGGCACACTCGCTTTTCTATCGTTTTTGTAGTACGGAACTGCCAGGCTATTTTTTCTTTCTTCCTTGTTCGGAAAATGGCCAAAAGGCACGCTAGTTCTTCTCTCACTTATGCTTGTGCTGTTGGCGAATGCGATGCTGACTTTGCGATCTTCCTTGGTAGCGTTCGGAGAAAAGGCAACACTAACTCGCCTACTAGGGGGGCGAGGTTCGGGGTTCTCTTCGTCGGTTTTAGATGTCCTGTGATTTCTGTAGTATATTCTGCCAACGTGGAAACTGACTTCAAGAATAAACTGGCAGACTTCGATAGCTGTGAGGACCGAGAACCCCAACCAGAGCCCCAGTTGACCGCCGATGTTGCCTAGGAGACTGTTCCAGTCGAATGTAGCTGAAGATGAAAATACCTCGTAGCGGAGAGTCTCGTAGTATATCTCCAAACGGAGGAAGTTGTCGAGGGCGTGTTGTCGCGGCTCGCCTGTCCAGCTGTAGGTTTTGTTGTTGGCTGTGGCTGAGTTGTTGACAAACTGGATGTAGTTCTCCATGTAGCGTTTAGCTGGCCACGTCGCCGTGGATACGGTTGTCTGGTAGCTAATCTGTTCGCAAACAGGCGGACACATGTCTTCACAACCTAATTGGTGTTTCTGGAACTGTAGTTCCTTATCTAAGACACAGGCAGCGTGTGTCTTGTTGCAGATTTGCAACGTTGCGTTAGCAGCCAAGTTGAGAAGAGATTTATAGCTGAGGACTTGAACTATATTGGCCACGTCCGTCTCAATACAACCACAATCCACATAGATTTTAATCTGCAAACAGGTCCGTAGACAGGCGTCTTTTGTGTAGTCGTAGCCCAAATCTTTGTAGATATTTTTTATTTCGTTGGATACGTTGGTTTGGCTGATACAGTTGCCGTAAGGCGCAGGGAGCAGATAAGTCTCAGACTGAAAGAATATATTGAAATAGAAGATTTCAAATATGACTATAGCATGCGTAACAAGTATTCCATATTTTATTTACAATTGTAACACACACCAAAAAAAATTTTTAATCACTTTTCCCCAAGTAGCAGTGTTACCAATAAAGTTCAGTGCATACGAATACTTAGCATTTCGTATTTTGAAAATACATATATTGGAGTTTCCTTGTAATAGGGCTGGTAATAAGTAGGTCACCAACCAGTTCTATGGCTCATGCAGGTTCTATTGAGCCGTAGAACTGGTTGGTGACCTACTTACCAGCCTTATTGTATCCTAGGTTTTAGTATATTAAGGAAACACTTTAAACCGTACAATATTGAATTGTTCCCAGAAATGCGATTACATGCAATGCGATATGTGCACTGATGGAAAGAGTTTACTATCGCCACGGATATCAACGATATGATTAATTTCAATCTCGAAGGGAAGAGAAGAAGAAAAAACTGGTTCAATATATTAACAGTACACACCTTGGTAATGCCAATACTAGTAACAAAGCCCGGCGCTGCCAGGATGCCACTGTTATCAGGGAAGACGATCTCAGAGCCAGAATGTAACAAGACCTTTATCCCAGCTGATTCGGTGATGGGCAGGTACTCGTCCTGTTCGATGTCCAGCTCGATAATCAGGCCGTTGGCTGGACCGGGTTTTGTCACAAACCTGTTTTCGTTTCAGTCGAGAGAAAGAAACATTTCTTATATAGGGCCTACAAAAAAACATCATTTGCTGTAAAGGGGTCGTCCATAAATGACGTCACACTCGTAGGGGGGGGGTAATTTTGTGACGGTGTGTGATGAGGGGGGGGTGAGTTCAGATGATGCGACGTCACACTTTTGCATTTTAAAAAAGCAATGTTAGAAAATGAATTTTGGACGTTATTTCGCGTTTTAGAAAACTTTTTTGATAAATTGCAATAGGAATTGATAAAAATACTCTATTTTGACAGAGTTCAGACAAGATTTTGAAAACATGTCGATGTTTTAAGAAAAATTCAACTGCAATTTTGAGGGGGTTCTGGCTTTTTGTGACGATGTGTGACGGGGGGAGGGGGGAGGTAAAAATCGTCCAAAAAAGCGTGACATCATTTATGGATGACCCCAAACTAGTCATTTTATAATAACTTTTAATTGGAGCTTTAAATTAATATCACTATTAGTATACGTAAATATATAATTTGCATGACATAATTACCAAGTTTTTGAATTATTCGCAGTTTTATCACCAAATGTGTAGCAGTTTCCATCACTGATGAATGTATTAAGTTTAAAATCTGACGTTTTACATGTATCCTAAAATATATATATAACGTGATTTTATTTATTTATCGTTTTCGTATAGTTTACAATATTTAATAAAAAACTAAGCTTACTATACACAGAATTAAATTACTAAGCACTCGTTATACTTACATTTATTGAGAGAAAGAGAAAGTTAAGGGGTAAATTATGGATATAAAATAGTAAGCTTACGATGACTATATAAACGTTGTAGTAATATTCCTGTGAACAGCTTAGAAATAGCGACTCAATTTTTTTTCTCTCAGTATTATATAAAGTTTATCATAAGTACATTTTATACTTGGATTGTTTAAAATAAAATGTGTCGAATGGTACAAAAAAATAGGTGATTGTTGAACAGAGTTGAGATATAAACGAACTCACCGAGTTGAACATACACAACAGCATCATGTCTGAGACATTGTGGCCTAAGTTTTCCTTCACCTCTCTGGAATAGTCGTTGAGGGCGATGCTCAGTTGTCGCAATTGATCTGGCACGGTGAGATTGTTCTGTAAAAAAATAAAAACCAGATATACAATATTATTTCATCCCGTGGTTTTTTTTTTTTTTTTTTTTTTTTTTGGGACGGCGTGGTTTAGTGATAGAGCGCTCGACCACTATCTTTAAAATTCTCGAGTTCGGATCTGGGATCGGGTTTCAGTCCGTCTTGCGTTAGTGAAATTAAAAGTAGCAATGACTTAGTGCTGAACACATCATCCCTTAATATACAAAGTTTAAGAAACCAACCAACGATCTTTTTTTTTATTTGCCTTACTAATTGTTATTTTAAAATTGTTGGATTTTTTTTAGTAAAAGTACACTTGAATTTTTTTTGTTAAATTGTGTGTGAAATCGTTTTCAAACACGAACTGACATTTAAAAACAAGGCAGTTAAAATTGTGTATTTTCATACAGTAAACCCTAATAGGTTACCCAGCCCGGATATAGACTCGGCTTCAAAAACAAAAGCTTTATTCCATTGATTCCATTTACTCTATTTACTCTATATAATTCCCAACTTAGCGATCGTCCGTTTACGAGTTTACGCCTTTTTAGTGGTGTTTACTTCTCACATTCCCATCGTCAGTCTTCGTTAACCGCCCCCCCCCCCCCTTCGCCAACCCCTCAAAAATAAAAATGACGACCCGACTCAGACTATACCACGCTCACAAAAATGCAGTTGTGTTTGTATAAACAACTTCTTTTTTAAAAAAAGTTTAATAATTGAGCTCGATCAACAAAAATTGTATTCACTAAAAAAAATTTAAATAACGACTGACATTAACTTCAATACAAAACTTTTTAAAATGTTAAACAAACAGCGCCATCAAACTTTTTGAACATTCTCCCTCTCCATCGTCACATGTTGTCACAAATATCATATCCCCCATCCATATTTGGAGTGTGACGTCATTTATAGATACCACACTTACAACCCTTAACTATAACCGTACTGAAGAGGCGTCGTTTTTCTCTGTGTTTGGGAATTACGCACAATTAAACAAATAAAAGAGTTATAAACAGGTATTAAACAAGTAATAAAGATTACAACTAAACTGTTTTGCTACTAAAGTGCTTAAATACTAAATGTGCCAACACCCCATATTTTTTTTTTCAGTTGCTATTTTTCAAAACGATGACGTCAATAGCAAAAAAAAAAAAAAAAAAAAAAAAAGCGCCAAACACCAATCGCATCCGAGGTCGCCATTTTACGTGACCTAGATTATTTCTAATGTAATCTTTTGAACACAGCTGCTCTGTGAGACACTAGAATTTGTGTTGACGTTGTCGAACTGCTCAAGCGTGCGATTTATTCGCTGATACATCTTTAGTTAGCGTGTTGTATGTTGTGTAGAACTGGAAAACACGGGACTTGTGGGAACGCTAAGCATATGAGTATATCTTGGGAAAATATGACATAGGTCTTTCAGTTCATATTTTAAAGTGGTGTTTGTGTGTGTCGGTAGATGAAATATGACTTTTTGTGACGAAAGATGAAATTTGACTTTTGTGACAGTAGATGAAATATGACTTTTGTGACGGTAGATGAAATATGACTTTTTGTGACGAAAGATGAAATATGACTTTTGTGACAGTAGATGAAATATGACTTTTGTGACGGTAGATGAAATATGACTTTTTGTGATGGGAGATGAAATATGACTTTTTGTGACGGGAGATGAAATATGACTTTTGTGACTGGAGATGAAATATGACTTTTTGTGACGGGAGATGAAATATGACTTTTGTGACTGGAGATGAAATATGACATTTGTGACGGTAGATAAAATATGCCTTTTTTGACCTTGTGTGTCCTTTTATTTTAGGATTTTCCTAAATTATTTCGTCCAAAGAACTTCCTATATTCTGGTTATTTAACACCGGCGGTTTGTGTCCGTGTGTGTGGATTTGGGGGGGGGGGGAGGGGCGGGCAGAAGTACACTTTGTTTGTGGTTTAGTAGAGGGGTTAAACCGACCGAAGCAAACCGTGTAATGACCTTATTCGGTGTACGGTTCATGTGTGTGATTTTGTGCATGCTGTATGATATATGTGATTTTGTGCTTGCTGTATGATGTATGTGATTTTGTGCTTGCTGTACGATATATGTGATTTTGTGCTTGCTGTGCATAACATGAAATTTTATCCTTGCTATGCTATTCATAAGATTATTATCTTGATGTACGTTACATATGATTATGTGCTAGCCGTACTATTCATGTGATTATGTACTAGCCGTCATATCTTTGATGTATAGCTCCAATGGTTTCGTACTTGCTCCTCATGTCATATGGTCCTGTTCTAACTTCCGTGTACTGACCACAACTTTCAACCGTCTCTCCATTCACCTGTCCGGTGTCCGCAAACAATCAGAGCGTGGAAAACTGACCCGCCTTTCTGTGTGGCGCGTTAACTGACCACGTACTGACCCATGGTGAACCCCATGACCTGCATACGATCCTAGGGGAGGGGAGGGGGGGTAATCTTGTCCCCGCGTCCATTTAATAAATGTGGTTTGTGCCAGTGGGGAAAAAATTATTTTTGAGAATCAGACGTCACTATTATTACATTTCTGACATAGGTTTCAAGTCAAGTAGAGGTCATCATTAAAGTACGACGCACAATAGGGAAACGAACGGGAAAATTTATTACAACATTTAATAAATGATATATTATTAAAAAAAATTATAAATCATTGACGTAGTTGACAAAAAGCGAAGCTAAGAGAAACAGTTTGCGTTCATTCCAGACCTATATTGTACCCAAAAAAAGAGTGATTTAGAGTGATACTCGTAGACGCATGCTAGACATTTGATAACTGTCTGTCATCATCGATAGAAATGCATGTATATAAATATCTTACCACGCCCTTCGATATCACCACCCCCTCCTCACACAAACCTTTTAATATTTTTTTTCATACGCTAATAGTGGATACCAGAGTTCCTTCCACGTATCTCTTCCAAGAGAGGTGGGGGGAGGCTACCGCCCCTCCCCCCTCTCACCCGAACGAAGTGGAATTTATATAGAAAATATATACTTTTACCAGTGTCCGACCCCCCTCCCCCTCCGGATAATGTTGTCCGCCCCCCGAAAATATCAAGTGCTCCCGCCTCCCCCCCCCCCCCCCCGGAGAAAAAAGTCTGGAAGAAACACTGGTGGATACGTTTGTCTCAAACTCAAGAATAAAGAAAGCTTATTCTAGAGAATATACTAAAGAATAGTTTAAATGATAGGAATATGTGTACATGTTTTAAACCTTACCTTCTTCCACTGCTCCAGGTATTTCTGGATGTCTTCAGACTTTGATAAACGAATCCTGTTCAAGTTACAGATTGTGACAGCCGGAAGTTCCAGCTCATGGTCAGCTTCTATAGACAGCCCTATGGAGGAGGGGAAGGTGTAGTACGTGTTCACCGTCTGGCTAATCTGGTACAGAGCGTAGCTCAAGGCCGAGATGACCAGCCCTGTCCAGATTAGTTTAATCCACAGCTGTTTGCTGACCGCGGCCCTTTTGATGCCATGCATGGTGGTCATCTGGCCAAAGTCCTGATACATCTCGTTAATCTGGTGCAGATCGTGCAGTTTGAAGCCGGTCTTCATTTTAGTGAGTGTTCTGTCTATCTATGCTGTTATCAAAATATGACGTGTTGTCTACGACCAAACATAACAACCTAAAAAGCAAAAAGTACAGCTGTAAAATGGTGCTGCTATTTGTTATAACTGTTACTTTGAGAATTATTTGGTGAATATATTTTTGTAGTTAATGGTTGGGGACTGGGTTTTATATGTGATGTTTAAATAGTAAGAGGTTATACTAGATGTATAGGGAGTAAGTTTTTATAAAAAAAACTGATAACTGATAGCTTAAATAATTGATAGCCTGCATATATAATTATGGTAATCAAAAACAAAAATTAGCTTTTTTTTTTAAATGTCAGTACCATCTGTTATGCTGAAGACATAAAGTGGTATGTTGATTTTTTTTTAGTGGTTGCATGGGTCTAGTTATGTTAAATTTTCTACAATAGCAGTTAGTATCGACAACTGTCTCAACTGTATGTTTTTAATTTAACTCTAGAAACAATGGTGGATACATTATACAGAGCAAGTGATGCGGATTGGAAACTATTGGCAGTAACTCTAGGGTCAACTATACAAAACAAATCGTTTTAGCTTGGCCTTGTTCCTTAATAAAAGTGTCTATAAACTATACACGACTAGATCTATACATAATACTATTTTGCTATAACACTACGCCAAAAAGCTTAAATTAACATTCAACATATGTATATTCATTTAAAACACCAACAATACTAGATCTCGTAATTCGTTTATCGTAGCATGCCGAAAAAACATAGAATCATTAAAATATTTCTAGCTTCAAAGTATTCCCAAAACTTGTGTTAGAAAAACTAGGTCTCGCCGTAGTAAACCTGACCTTCAATCAATGCCTACAACTACCAGTAGTGACCATGTTATGACGGCGCTAAACGCTCAATGAAATCACAAGTGACAATGTTGTAGGATCTAGTCTAGGACTCTATCTCAATGATTCTAAAAATGTATATACTTTTTAAAAAATCAAAGCTGAAAACACATCTTAGTGATTAATAAGGGCAATCAGATTCAGAAAGCAAAAGTGTGTAATTATAGAAAACGTAATTAAACCAATAGATTAGTAGTCGAAGTAAATGTTTTTCTTCAATACTACAATTTAAAATTAGTAAAATTACCAATAAAATTGACTAGCTTAGTCAACTTTACATTTTGCCTTTAGAAACAAGTATTTCCTTTAACATTAATTTACCATTTGTTTTTTCTTTGTTATCAAAGTAAAGTAGAGTTAAGTATTACAATTTTAAAGTCAAATAATGTTCAGTGTCTAGTTGTGTACATACACGTGTATATGTCAACTATGGATCAGTGAACATATCGTTCATATTTGGCTAATTTCAAGATATCTACTAAATGCTAAATAATTAATCTAGTTGGGTCATAGACATAATGATTACCCGTACCAACGGATTCGAATTGCGGTAAACGACGCAACAATTATTTAAATTTTGGGATTAGATTAGTGTTAATATCCCATTTAGATTTATCCCTAGGCTGAAGTTTATACGCGAATATTTTAGGGATTGGGGGAAGAGGGGGGGGGTATGGGAGATGATAGAGGTTGTAGATACCGTTAGGTGGGGGTAGGGTTTAGGGGGGGGGGGTCGAGTAGATGTACGGGTAGGGTAGAGACATAGTTATGAATGTAGTTAAGAGCAGTAGCATCAGACTAAACAAAACGATCTACATTTATACGTAATGTCTATGTAAACTACTTGTTTACTAAATTCAGGGATGTTATGCATAATAATTTGCCAACTTACCGAATTATGCAGGCTTTTAAAAAACAATCGCTGGGTAAATAACGAACTACTTTACTCAAAAGTGTTTAAAACATAATAAATATTTACTTTTTGCGGATTTGGTGTTAAAAACGCAAACGTCTTATACTTGAAAACAAGCAGACGTCCACAAAGACATAAACGTCCTAACGTCTTTGTATCTCTGACATCCGGTTGCGTTCAAAAGCAGCCATGCATTATATCCAGATAATCAAACAGCTATCCAGGCTAGCTATCCAAGCTGTTTATTTCGTTTTTACACTGGCTTATACAGGTGGGGCAGGGGAGATGGGGCGTAGAGGAGGCAGCAGCCTGTTCGTTAAACTTGTGGTTCTCAAATTTTTTAAAGTTTCGGCCCCAGGTAGAAGTGCACTTTTTAACATATTTTCCCCCTATATGTTGCTTCAATGTAAAATCGTATTCCCAATCTGCATCGTACTACAGAAAGACTGTGCTTCGTGAAAGTCAATTTTTGTAACTAAAGAACTGGTGTTCTAATTTTTTTATATAACAACTTTACTTCATTTCTAACTATGCATACTTGGAGATTTTAAAAATCATAATCAGATGGTATTAACAATTTATGCCCTATACAGCGATGCATTACTAACTTTGTCTTCAGTACATAGAATGGCCTTTGGTTCGATTATCGTCAGTATTTTGTCGTCATAGTTTCGGGCTAACTAATTAAAGTCAGGTATCCTACTCGACAGATTAAGGATTAGTGTGTTGCTAACTTCTAAAAATGGTGTCCACAGAACAGCTAACTCAACTCTCAATCTGCCATTATGTCCCTTTAAAAAGAAAGGGAGATAACTCTACAAGTTTGCCCCTAAAAACGGAAAGACAACCCACACTGTTAGAACCTTTGGCCTGGGATCACAAACTGGTAACGTGGGGTTTTTGGCTCTCTTTTAAAATTTGACCTCAGCACGGCGTTCCGCTCGACTGATTTTCTTGGTTTGTTTAGTCCTTTCTACCAGCCAGCCTTGGATTTAGTAACATCGAGTTGTCTCCCTGTGCCCTGCGTATGGTAAACCTCGGTGAACACAGGTGCAATGTATTAAACCGCAAACAGCCATTGAATATAAACAAACCTTCTTGTGTTGTACTAGACTATGACTAGCAACTTGCTTACACGAATAAAGTAGATTTTCCGGTTTTTATATAAAGGGGGAAGACACTTACATCATTGAATTTTTTTTTTTTTTGCTTCTGCCGGCATTTTAATTTAAATTAAATTTATAGTGAGGGTTAGATTAAAGGTTATGGTGGGGATATAGATCATTATTATCTTTTCTCGTTTGTGTCCAAGAAACGTGGGTCATATGAAGTAGAGTTCATCTGTTTCAATGACCTCGGCATGCAAGAAGATTGTGTGGCCAGCATTATGTCATATGCCTAAAGTGAGTCAGGTACCCATTGAGTTGCTTGGGTTCAGGGACGTAATACGGACTTGAGCCCGGGATCCGAACCCAACACTTTCACTTTAGCAGTAGAAAGCTCTTCCATGCCACCACACCGTCTTTTAAATATAGAAGTAAACGTCGTTATGTATGTCATGCTACGCTTCAGATTAATGTTTCATGTTTATCCATACTATTACACCACTATATTGTCTATTTCGTGTTCTTTAGGTTTCTCCTTGAGAATGTTATATATCAAGTGTATGAATAAGGAGTTATCTATGATTAGTGAATGAAAGGTTACAAGTGAAGAAATAGCCGACAACCTACTGTCGTGTAGGGGACGGAGTGGTCTAGCGGTAGAGAGCTGGACTGCTAACCCGTTCGAGTTCGAATCCGAGTACAAGTCATGTTAGGGAAAGTAAAGGCTGCTGGGCATAGTGCTGACCGCACTTACCTTCATTTGCCGAGGTCATATAATCAAGTGAACTCTACTTCACTTGCCCTAAAGACCGTCAGGTTTGAAAAGGGAACCTTACTTACTGTCGTGTTCTCGTGTAGTGTTAAATATACGTGCAAAACATACTATACATAGAGGGTACTTTACTTTCTTTCTCTTTACATTAAGTTTTAGTATTTATTTTTTTACAGTCTCCGTTAAAAACATTATTAGGTTACAACAGAAAAAAAAAGTTCTAGATTATTCTAGAAGATCATAAAACCGCCATGCTTTGTTCACGGTATGGGTCGAGGCACTGTTCAGGAAAAAACTAACCAATCAGAAGAGAGTGGTGTACGTCACGGTTTCTCAACAGCCAATGAGACGACCGCAACCTTTCCCCCACAACTGTTCCTTTTATCGTAAAACAAATGACATTTCGTAGGCTATAAAGGCCTTCACCCAGAAGACGGAGCTCTAGGGCTTTATTAGACGCGAAAATAAATTTGTTTTTTCCTGTCTGCCACTTCAACACGCAATATATACCGGGGCGGACCAGAAAATTATTCGATCCTGCGTTTTTAAATATAGCATGACATACACACACAGAAACATGCAAATTTTATATATATATATATATATATATATATATATATATATATACAATTTTAACACAATATCAATGTTGTTTATTGCCCAGTCATATTGTAAACATGAAACTAATGCGAAAACACAAGCTACAAAAAAAAAATGACATCAATTTTTTTATGCAATTAAATTTCAAATATTTTGTTGCACAATTAATCATTTTTGACGGTACAAAATTTGCACTGATGCTATAATGGCATACACGTAATTTAAGACGTACTCAAGCTTTAAAACCGCAGATAATGTTAAGTATTAAATTTAAAAAACAAAATATAAAGCTGTAACATTTAAACCAGGGCGTATCGAAGTTGGTCTTTTTTTGTATCAAATTCCACTGGATCTCAACTAAACATTAACAACAGCTTCCCTTAATCCTACTCCTGACCCAAACAGCGTTCAAGCATAGTCGAATTGTATTTTAGACCCCGTTTGGCGCAACCAAACTAGGAACGACAATACAGTAAGGTCACAAAACCTGGCACTTTCAGCGTCAGGTGACGCCGCTTAGGTAATGACGTAAATAAAAAATTAAATTAACATTGCAAAAAAAAAAAAAAAAAAAAACAATGGCTCCATCATATTAAAAAAATAGTTTGGCGTAAAACACCAAAGCGAATATACAGAAAGATTTGTTGAATACGGGGCAGGAGGGGAATTACTGAATGTTTGCACCTGATGACTTTCGACCTACTGTCGCCAGTGTACATGTAC